CTCATATTTCACGAAAGGTGCTAGAATTTTCTGTTTTTTTGGACTTTTATATCTTGAGAAGGAAACATTCTTTTGAGCTGAAATTTTCAGAACATTCTACTCACAACTAGACCTGTCTATGGACGAAATCTCAACCCGAAATATCGTCATTCGATTGGTTGGTAAATACCATGCCATAGGCTAAAATTCCAGTAAATTCCCTATAATTCTGGACAGAAGGTCTAAGGGCCGTTATCCTTTTGGGGTTTTTCATACCTCACTGGGGTCTACCTTATGCACAGAGTCCGAACTCAAAGGTGGTTGGACAGTTGGGGACCTTCCCTCGTCAGTATCTTCTGTAGTAGTAAACTAAGAATACGAATTCTTTTCAGGGTATCCATAGCTCATTTGACTATAAATAATACTCGTAATCTCAATTGAAAAGTTGGAGGAGACTTTCCTCGTTAACATTATGGAGAAATAACTTCGAATGACTCAGAAAATACCTAACACTTCGTTCGAGAACAATAAACATTGAATACGAATGTTTAGTGAACTTCTCTAATTTATTATGAAGCCATATATGAGAATAAATAGTAGTAATAACTTTAAAAATATCTTATAATTCATGGCAATTCTTTTTTATTTATTTTGTAACATTTGTCTACTTCAGTTTTTGCTATTTGAAAATAAATATAATTTTTTGTTGATCAGCGAGGTCAGAATTATATGTCTGTAAACTGAGGTGTATGTAGAAAGTGAAATAGAAACTATCTAATTCTGTCAAACATCATGCGAGTAATAGTTGCTGTCGCAATTTTATCTCATCTAATTTGAATTTAAAATTTTTTCTATTTTAATTTTTATTATTTTTAGGATTCCTATTCCAGTAGCTTATAGTCTTTATCTCTATCGTTATAAAACCAAACGAGATTATATGGATTTTGCATTTACATTTTTATTAACTAATATTCTTGGTTTTGTTATTTATTATATAGTACCAGCAGCGTAAGTAAAGTTTTATTTATTTTCATATAATTATCTTATTAAATTTCATAATTTAGACCACCTTGGTATATTGAATTATATGGTTTTGATTTTAATTTAAATGTACCTGGTAATCCAGCTGGTTTTATACATTTTGATCAGATAACAGGCTTAAAAGTTTTCTCATCAATGTACTCAAAAAATGCAAATGTATTTGCTGCTATACCATCATTACATGCAGCATATCCATTAATAACAGTGTTATATGGTTCATTAAGTAAAAAACTTTGGCTACATATTGCATTTGTTTTATTTACATTTTGTGTTTGGTTTTCTGCGGTTTATTCTCGTCATCATTATGTAATTGATGTTTTAGCTGGTGGATTATGTGCTATAACAGCTTATATACTTTATCGTCTTTTATCTCGTATACCACCAATAAATAAATTACTTAATGCATACAGTAAATTAATTTGAATAATTAGTTTATTGATAATATGTGTTAATGTGTATGTGAATGGTAACCGTTTTATATCGTCAGATTGCTGTTTATACAAGCAAAAAAAAAAAAAAAAAAAGAAGAGAAAAAATAAACGATCTTAAGCTTGGTGTTTGCTTCATTTCTGTATTTGTTGGTTCTATCTGATTTTCTTCCTTTTTTTAATAATAAATAAGAGACAATGAATGAATTAGATAATATCATTCACATACTTGATTTGTTTTTTTTTTTTTTTTTAAATAAATATGACAAGTAAGAAAAATTCAAATAGTTTAAACTATTCGAGAAAAAAATTCTTTTTTTTTATTTATGATTTTACTTCTTGTCAATTTGTATTTAATATTAGTAATTTATGCTAAAATTACAAAATTTAAAATTGGTATGAGTGTTATGTTTACTAATATCTATTAATAATTCATATTAGATTTACAGATAGGTCTCAGACAGATTCACAAAAGCTAAGAACAGTATCGATTGTTTACTATTCGTACTTATTGAGTTTTCATTTTTTTCTCAAGTTATCATTTCCTTAAACTTAAAAGTTGAATAACTTGAGTTTTTTCCTATTGTCTTATTGTATTATATAATGATGATGATAGATATTATTAGTTATTCGTGGTGTTATTTCATTTGAAATAATATTGGTTGATATTATTAAAGATCTAATAAAACTTAGAAAGTTTTAGCCGAAAAGAATATTCGATAAAAACTCCGTTGTTCGGCTTTTCGTAAGGTACATAAAATTAGTCGGAAATCTAGCCAATAGATCACAACTCAAAACTAAAGACTCACAGGGACGAATTGCTTAAGCCTTTTGTTAGTCTTGCTGAGGCCTACCTATGAATTTACGATGAGCTCAAATAGTGAGTGTCAGTTGAAATAGTTCCATTGTTAGCAAAAAGCATAAAATACACTGCTCACACATAAACACTCAAAATTAGTGTCAAAGTTCATATGAATACTTGCAAATGTTGATAAACGACCTTCTAACATGAATCAATTTCATCTGCAAATCATTTTTTCACATAAACATTTGAAAATGGTCCAAACATGTCGATTAACACCGAAGAGACCTATGATAATATTAGTGAGGGAATTATTCAAACATTTAAGCTTCTATTGGATGCTCAAGAAAGTATCGGTAAGATTAGAAAAAGCCTTATTTCGTTCCCCTAGAACTTTTTTGGATTGAGTAGAAGCGAAACATAGTGGAGTTGCATATCTATGCTTTGAAGGTAAGTTGCAATCGTTCCACTGAATTTTAGAACCAATTTAAAATAGACTATTCTAAAATTTTCAGCTGAAAATAATGTCTTTTTCCACGAGATTCGCCAAACATGCAATCGATTTATTAGCATACGATTGAAATCATTTTCTACATGTAAGATGGTAGAAATTGAAAATTTTAGCAAATTTTTGTTTTCAATATATTTAATGTCGTTGTATATAACACATCCAATAACTTATAAAAAAACTATTGCCCATTTCAAAAAAGAAGGCGGGTGGGTATTTTTTGAATAACTTTTGATAGGAACAAGCTAGAGAGCTGCGGTTTTTGCCGTTAGAAAGAGGCCTATCCAGCGCATCGATTCATATAAAATTGTTAGAATTTATTTCATAAATAAGTAGTGATCTATGGTCATTTTGGAAGAATAGACTGTTGTTCTATGAAGATAAAACAAATCTTAAACTTTGAAGAGTAGGTTAGAATCGCCAGCTCACGAGCTACAAAACTATATCTATGTGTTGATTCAAAGCTTTACTGATTTGGGAGTTTTAGGTATTATATTCGACAATCCCAGCCCCTTTTACCAGATATTTCTGTAAAAAATTCAGTTTTTTTAGTTTTTTTCTGGAAAAATCAGAACTATTTTTAAGGCATTTCTTTGTTCAGTTATTGCAAAAAGTTTCAAAACTTCAAGTTAAAAGTCATTGTCTTATATGGTTCGATGCGTTTTCATCTGCTTTTTCCAACGGTCAAAACCGCAGCTCTCTACCATTTTTCTATCAAAAGTTATTCAAAAAATAGCCACCCGCCTTCTTTTTTGAAATGGGCAGTCGTTGTATCACTCTGTGTAATTAAACGAAATTTTTAAGTACTGATAAATTAGAATTTAGATCATACAAGTATAGTGAGATGAAACTCTTATAGAAATATGTCTGTTCAATACACTATTAGCTTGAAGTGATTTAAACTTTGGTGTTTGATCAGAAAATGCGTTCATATCTATTATGATATTGAATATATTTATTCTAGAGCTCGACGTGCTGCTCGTGAAAATCAACAATCATCTGATATAGTTCAACCAATAAAACCACATTATGAAGTTCGTAAATTTATTAAAATTGGTCGACCAGGTTACAAAGGTAAATTTAATTTTTGAAATTTATTTAATTTTTCTTTTTTCTTTATTTTAGTTACAAAACAACGTGATCCAGGTAAAATTTTATTTCATCAATCGGGTATACAAAAGAGACACACAAAATAACAAATTCTATTCATTTTTTTTTTCAAAATCATAAATCAAATTACATTGATATATAATGAAAGCACAAAAAGAAAAATTTCTTATGATTATTCTATAGATATATACTATGTTATCATTAAGCTGTGAATGAAGAGAAGGCTTACATTCATATCCTGAAAAGATTACACATTTACTAATTACAATTCAGATGATAATCACACGTCTGCTGATTTCCTATATCAATACTGTTCTTATTAATCCTTTACCTCCTGTTGAGCTATTTTTGACCTTTTCATAGAAACTATCTGTTTGGAATAAGGACGCTTCTCGATCACATTATATAGAATCCTTGGTTAACTACAAAGTCAACAAAGAAAAAATTAAAGTTATTTAAGGTTTATGAGTAGAAAAATAAATGAAAAGAATTTATTTTTATTTTATTTATTTACACAGATCTATTAATATGATGTTTGTTCGATGAATATTATCTATTTTGTAGAGTAGTTTTTTAAAACATATTTTGATTACACATGTGAAAGCAATATTTTTCGTGATAATTCGAGTTATTTTGTTTTTGATATAAACTTATAAAATTTCTCGATTTTCATACTAAAAATTTTTATTAGATCTAATAACAAGTCAAATAGTATTTCGAAGAATGAATCATTTTGTTAAAAACTAATTCACGATAAGCAAATTTCCAGTTATAATAACATAACTGTAAAAAGAAAAAGATCAAATTAACAATAAATTCAAATTTTACATACACGACAACGAATGGTCTGTTGACGAAAAATCAAGTTTAATATATGAATGCTATTTTTCGATGTATACATAAGAATTTATTATTTTGTCAACATCTTTTGAATTCCTATTCAATTATATTGTTAATAAAAAAAAAAAAAAAAACCTTATTTTAATTAAATTTAGATACAAAACAACAATCACTTCTTTTTCAAATTGATTATCCTGAAATATCAGATAATATTGTACCTAAACATCGTTTTATGTCTGGTTTTGAACAACATGTTGAAGCACCTGATCGTCGTTGGCAATATTTACTTTTTGCTGCTGAACCTTATGAAACGATTTCATTTAAAGTAATTTTATTATTTAATATATTAATATGGGTTTTTTTTTTCTTCTCGTATTTAAGATTCCAAGTCGTGAAGTTGATAAATCTGAAGGCAAATTTTGGACATATTATAATACAGAAACAAAACAGGTTTGTTTATTTTTTAAAAATTTCATAAATCTATTGTTTTCTTGTTTTTTAATTAGTTTTTTCTTCAATTCGCTTTTAAACTTGAATCAAATAAATATTCAGGTGATCATTCATCATCAAATGCACGATCATATGGTCCACCACCACCTGCACCACCTAGTTCATTACGTGGTTAAATATTCTATTACTTTTTTGTTTGTTTATTTCTTTTTGTACTTAAAATAAAAAATAAAATCTTGTTCGTCTTGGCATTAAATGTATGAAAAATATATCTTTTTCTTTTACAACTCAAATTAGACATATGATACATATCAGTTTGATAGATGAATATTATATGTAAATTTATTCCCATAATAGATATTGTATGTTATGATCAAGGTAAAATAAGCCCTCTGGATATAACATATGACTATAGGAATATAGTTATTATTGATGAGTGACTAAAGAAAGTGACTTTAGCCTTTTTCTTGTGAACAAATATTGACCGGTGATATTTCTATATTTCTATCTATATATAGATAATGATTAGAGAAGCAAAAAAGAATGAAAGTATAAATATAAAAGATTATTTCTAATGTCTTTTGTAAATTCAAAAAAAAAAAAAAAAGAAAGAAAGAAAGAAAAAAGCGAATATTGTGAACAGATGGTGACATTGAAAACGAATGTTTTTTTTTCTCTTAAAAACAGAAACGGAATCATATATAATGAATATTAATCAGAAAAACATTATTTATGAAATATATATGGATGCAAAACGTACTGAGTGAAACTTGAATGATGGTAAGTAAAGAATAGAATAGGATTCAAAGAGTAAAAAAAGTGATGAAATAGTTTGTTTAAATTTTGATAAAAAATTTAATATTATTTGACATATTGTTTTTCTACATATAAAAACCTATGAGCAAATAAAGATAGAAGTATTAAACGACTTATTCTTTATGCATGTTTCTATATCTGATAATGTATCAAATCAACTTGCTATGATATATATTCTATTGTTGTTTGATCTAGTCAATGACGATATCATTGATCATGATAATTATTCTGATATATAGAGAAATACTGATCAACTATCAATAATGTCATATAGTAAAAGACATGAATGGTGTTCGTCCTCGATTCCCACCACATTGTGTCCCTCAAATGTTGACAAATCGACACAACCTTGCCCTCTTCTATCATCGGCTTTTTCTTCAACATTATTGATCACTAACAGTAACAGTCATAGTGTTTCTATCAATACTGATACCATATCATCAGCATTTGACTGTAAAGAAAACGACCAACTAACAACATATGTGCTATCGTCTTCATTAGATTATTCACACGATTATTATACAAAAAAACGTATTGAACAATTACATAATCATATGGATGATATACAAATATCAAATTTTTTAAAATTTATTAATTATCATTTATCATCAAAACATGAAAAAAAAATTGTTAAAGATTTATCACAAGATTTATCAAATGGACATATATTAATTGATTTAATTGAAATATTTTCTTCAACAAAATTAAAACGTGAATATGGTCGTACACGTTTTCATTCATTAACTAATGTACAATATGTATTAGATTATTTAAAATTACATATGCAACATATAAATATATCACCACAAGATATTGTTTCAGGTAATCGTAAACAAATTTTAGCATTACTTTGGATAATAATGAAAATATTTGATTTTCCATCATTTCATATAACAACAAATAAACATATATATAATGAAAATACAATTTTTTCATTTGGACAAGATCGTAGTTTATTACTTAAATGGATAAATAATTTATTAAATAAAATTTTAAATACAAATATTATTTATATAAAAGATTTTTATATACAAACATGGATTAATAGTAAATATTTAATATTAATTATTAAATATTTATGTCCATGTAGTTTAAAATATGGTACATTAGAATATTTTGAATATATAAATAAATTAGATGAATTTAATTTATCTAATAATCAAAAAGAATATTTTCAATTATGTTTAAATTTATCAAATTATTGTTTTAATACAATAATAACTATTGATTATAGTGATCGAACAGAAAAAAGTTTATTTCAATTTTTTTCTCAATTAAAACAAACTATTCTATTTATTTTAAAATCAAATCATATTGGAAAATTAACAAAAACAAATCCTTATACTAAACAATTATATGATACAGTTTTAGAAACAACAAATATAGGTAAAAAAAAATTTTTTTTTTAAATTAATTTATATTCATTTATTATTAATTAGAACATTCACAAACAATGAATGAAAATGATGATTATTTAATCTATAATGAACATAAACAACAACAATCAACAAATCCCCTGGATGAAATAGAGAATTCGCAAAGGTATAAAATGAAAGTTCTCTTTCTAATATGCAACGATAGTAAATAATGATTGATGACGTAAGGTGTGAATTGTAACCATAGGGTATATAGATTTATCAGAATTACGTATGATAGAGCCAAACAAAAAAAAATGCCGACATCTATCTGTTATCGTTCATATTTATTTTTTTGATTTATGTATCAGAAAACAATTGTTAAATGTTATGACTTTTATCAATCAATATATTGTCTGAATGTTTATGCATTTCACTACGAGATGATTGAGAAGTTTCACTATGCCAATTTTTAAGACGAGTTAGAAATGTAATTTTATCGGAAAAATAAGTTAATTTCATATGAAAGTAATAATCTAGATTGTTGATAATTCTTATAGCAAAATCAAGTATAAAACAAGAATTATTCATTAATGACATTGAAGAAACCTTATCTTTTGTTTCTATTATATAAGTCTAGATATATAAAGACCTTGTCATTGTCAAGATACCTTTTATGACAATACATATATTAATCAATAAAGAAATCAAAGAAGTTTTTTTGATTAATGAATCAAGTGTATGTTGAGGAAATTGAAAAATTCTTCTTCCTACCAATATCAAAACATCTATATTTAATGTGAGATTTAAGATTATCTAATAAATATATAGTATAATTATAATGTATAGATTAAAAAAGCTACCGAATAAACACTTAGATTAGATCAATGATTCGGAGTACTCAGTTTCGTGAATTTTCAGCGAGAATTCATCAGAAAATACCAGCAACTTAGAAATACGAATCCGATGGTTATATCAGTTCAGTTATAACTAGCTCTGATTGGAATTGAGTTTCCATTATTATTTTTCTTGTTGAAGAAGTATTGTTTTCCTGAAGTTGAACATTCCGCTCCAAGATGTGTCTGACGATGAAGTTCATCATACCATAAATAGTAGAGATTTCGTGAAATATTATTTTATACACTTTAACATCTTTAGTTTTCAAGAAAACAGTATATGTACCAGTGCCTATTCACTAATTATATTATTTCTAAATTACAAGACAATCCGACGTTGTATTGAAGAAATATTAAAAAAAAAAATTAAGCAATGTCATAATTTTAATAGCTCCAGTTTCATGCTTAGTATTACATATTCTAACGAAAAATGTGATATCATTTTCTAGTAGTGTCAATGTGTTTGAAACATCTTGCATAATCTCTAATGTCTTCGATTCTTTTAATTCACTATAACACTTCATCTGTTCTGCACGTTTATGTGTTCGACAACTCTGTTACTTATGGAAAATGATTAATTTTACTATCGATATTGTAACAGTAAATATTGAAATGAGATCATTACTCAATAATTTTCGCATTCACTTTTAGAACACATGAGTTATAAGAAAATAACGTTTGATGCAAGTCTTACATGATCATAAAACATATCACTCTCAGTGAAAAATTGTAGGTCTTTGTCCCGAGACCATCCTGTCCATATTTAGTAGGCACTTATACATATGAAATTTTATTAGAAGCTAACGATACTGAAGTGTATAATTTAATGTTTGATAAAACCTGTATTTTTTATGGTATACTCTAACTTCAAGAAAATGACATTTCTTCGAAAAGAAAAATATTTCATTACATATACAAAAAGTTTTCATAAATGAAATTTTCCCGAACGGCATTGTAAGAACAGGAGATTTTTTCTGCTGACATCAAATAAGTAAATTTTGCAAATCTTATAACTCCTGTTAGATTTGTTCCAACCTAAAAGATATTATAATATTCCGACACTTGGAAGTACTTTCTACAAACTCATCAAATTTGAGGACATGTTCTAGATGATTACTCCCTCCCACCTTCATATAAGAATTTGTTTGTTTTTTTTTTTGTTTAAATTACATTATTTCAGACTACATTAATTATTTTCTAGTCTCAATAATGATGTAAGCAACAACGATTCACTTCCGAAAGAAGAAGAAAATACAATATCAACTGAAAAATTAGAACCAATAACGATTGAAATTATAAATTCAGAAGAATCTGTTGTTAATACAGAATCATTATCATCTTCTCCTAATATAACAAATATTACACAAGAACAACAATTAATAAGTCAAAATCCATTAGAAACCATTTCATCTATTAATGAGTCAGTATATATTTTAGTTATTTTAGTCTTTTATTAAACTTTCTTTTTTTTTTTCATAGTGAAAATCTTCATAATCAAAGTGCATTAAAATCTCGTAAAATAAAAAAGAAAAAATCATCAACATTATCAATTGAAAAACTTGCATCGACTATGGTTTCAACACCTACATCGAATGATGATTTATTTGTTAAAATAATTGAATGTTTACGTAATCGAAAACTAATTACATTTAAATATATTTTTATTCTTGCTTGTCTTTGTTTTTCAATACTTATTATTTTTATTCATAAGTGATAGTTATTTATTATTATCTATTAGAATACAATCAATGATGTTTTGTTCTTTTTCTTTTTTTTTCTGTCTAGTTAACATTACTTCATTTAACACTTCATTCTTTTCCTTTATTTTACATGAAAAATTTTTTTTGTGAATAGTTATTTGTTTTGTTTGGTATAGAGATAAATCGTATTGGGGCTAGCAAAAAAATAATAATAATTAATTGTATTGATTTGGAATTTATCAAGCATTCAAAAAATAGCTTAACTTTTTAGTATTAAGCCAGTAGAGATGGTGGTGAGCAGTGGCGTACGCAGGGGGGGGGCGAGGGGGCCCCCCCCCCCCCTTGAGACGAAAAAGTCCTGAAGGGGGTACAGGAAAAAATATTTTCGCGTGATAAAAATTTTTTTGTGCCATGGCGGCCCCCCCCCCCCTTACGAAGTTGGGCCCCTCCTTGAAAAATTTCTGCGTACGCCACTGGTGGTGAGTCAACGATGAAAATTGCTACTACAGGTGCTAATTACGGCAATGATATTTTTAAGTTTAAACAATTCGTTTTGAAAGGCATTAAATTTATATTTGATTTTTTTTCTGTAGCTACAATAATAAACAAAACTCTCTCATCTCTCGTTATCTTGACTGCAATGCATGTCGAAAAATTTGTATGATGGATCACACCTATTTATTCTTTTAACGTCATAGTTTTGAAATAGAAGAACTTTTTTTGAATCGGCTCATTCCGATGAGAACAAACTATCTGCTGGCTTTTGAAGATCATAACTCAGTAATAGTTTAATGAAAGAATCTTCCACTAAATGAAAAAGGCAATCTTCGATTCAATTACTTGATTTTTTGACTAAAAGAAAAGGCATAGACTGATTTCTACATTCATACTAAAATATCAAGAATTAGTCATGTGCATGATAACAAGTAACGAAAACTTCATCATTAATCTGGTTATATTAAAGCAATCGGAATAACCTCGTACTTCTGAACTAAATCTTAGTACAACATTTCAGATCTCCAGTATGTATATAGCGGAGATATGGTGAACAGGAGAGAGGACTTTGGTCCAGTATTGTATGTAGTTATGTTATCTGTATAAAACTGAATTAGTTTTTGACAAACTTATTCATTGCGAAGGATGATATATGAATGGATACTTGCAAAGGCGGCTTTTTGGACTGAAATCAATCCTTTCATTTCGTAAACCATATTTGTATGGTTAGTATTTATTTACTTTTTATAATATAGAACGTTTGGTTTTGATTCTGATTCGAAATCACCCATTTCTATTGCTAAGATCTTGCCCAAATACAAGATCATAACAAAAGCTGCAGGTTTCTATGTTTTATTAATGAAAAATTATTTAAAAAATGATTTGTATGAGTGAGTCCGAAAAGACTGAACAGGAGAAGATAAATGATTAAATATGACTTATAAAGAAACGTTTTCAAATGATCAGTCAACTTTCTCATGGTCATAGTCGGAATCAATATGATCGATAATGTCTTATCCATTAGTTTTCAATGAAAAATCTCCTCGTCACTTGCTATTATTATAAATCAAATAGAGATTTTTTTGCTTAGTTTAATTCTATGTAAAATCGGATAACGAATTTTCTTTTTATTATGTTAAAATTCCCGCTTAATAAATTTTTACAATTTACGCGCTTCTATTAAAATGAAAAAAAGATGCTTTTTATTATCTAATCGAATCGTTTTAAATGACAACATCTAAAGTAAATACTAATCCAACGACAATATCAAAAATTGAAACAACATCAAATCTTAATCCATATAATCGTGATGTTCAACAACGAATTAATTCATCAAAACGTACAACAACAATGGTCAATAATATTGATCAATTAATAGATAATAATAATACAACAGTTTTACATCAATCAAAAACTCATCATTCATCTAGATTAACTAAACAAAAAGATAAATGTGAAAATTCCAATATAATATCATCAAAACCAGAAAGTGCAAGTGAAGAAGTCTATACAGCTCCATCAACAGCTGAAGATATAAGAATATCATCATCGATTAAATCAAAACAACAATCTAGACAAGAACTAGGTGATTATAGACGAAAAGATCCTAATGAAGATGCAGATGAAGAATCTACAACTGTTTGTGCTATTATGAGAAAAAATAAAATACATAATGAACATATTAATCCATTATCAATACCATCAAATAATTCTGCTATTCATCTTCAACAACAAGGCATGGGTGATCATTATCATACAAGTACAAGACAACAAAAAACTAGAAGTAAAACAACTGGATTATTAAATCGAAGATATCATCGATTAATTGAACAACAAGATCTTGAAACATCATTAGATGAAAGACATACATATCGTTGGCGTATATTTATGTATATAATCATTATACTTGTATTAGTTTTTGTTATCTATCGATTCTTACTTGCCATATGGCCTAAACGTAAAAAGACATTTATGGAACAATTCATTGATGAATTATCCACTTTTTTTACACCTTGAAACAAAAAAAAAAAATCATCAAAATAAAAACTCGCATTCAGGTGTTTTACAAACTAATTAATATTCTCTTCTAATCTTCAGCACTGTTACATATGTGCAAAATATGAATTCGATAAAAGAGATACTAATTGTATTTCATCTAACGAGGTAACATGTCTAACGAGGGAACGTTCCCAAGTGATTAAAAGCTTTTGAGCTCATATGTTGCCAATTAGGTAGGGGACCACTAGATTAGAGAAACCTCCAAAGGATTCGTGTCTATATTGAGATTCGACAGAGATATTGAATTTTTAGTGAATTTTTCCTGCTGG